GAATATATTTTAAAGTTTTTCGGCGTGGTATTTTGAAGTCTAGACAAAAGCCCATTTAGTTTTTCCTGGAAATTGATAACGATATTGACAAAGTTGATAACGATATTGACACAGTGTATCAGGTACCATCTAGTACCGATCTGCGAGAAATACCAACCTGTTACGCTCCAAATGTCCAATCTTTAATGCTCCGAACCCTTTAAGCCTTTTTCCAAAAACCTTGCTACCCGTGTGGGTATAGTCTGTCACGATGGCGAAGCCCCAGACGAGGTCTGCGTGAAAATCCGTAGTACCCAATGAACGTTCACACCCCACCAAGTTGCAGTCCTGAAAAACTGACCTCGTCAGTTACGGTCGCCGCTTGTGGTGATTAATCCTCTCCACCTAAGATCTTCCTTTGCATTCAGTAAAGTTTCCAGTATCAGTCTATCGTTTCACCGAGCCAGACAAAGAAAACAAACGCCACGAAAATCGGAACACGTGAAACTACGATGTGGATATTAAAATTAAAATTTTGGGAAATTCCCAAAAGCGCCGCCTATGACCACAGTGATATGACTGGTGAGGGCGCGATATTGTTTGCACTCCAACGCAAATCTACTTCCGGGTTAGCCAGAGGTTGCGTATTAATTTGTTGACATCGCCCTGTTTTGCAGATTTGCGTGAAAAGCAATGGGAGTGTGTTTGCCTTGTTTAAACAGTTCAAGCAGTGACTATGACGGTCCTGACCAGGTGAATATGAAAACAATGTTATTTACTATGAAAGCAGTCCTCGTCGTAGCATTTTTTAAATGTCATTTTCAGTTTCCTTTTTAGTATCCGCCACATTATTATGAATATTCATAAGGTATAAATGAACTGTGATACCAGTTAAGTGCGAAGGAAATTATTTTGATTTAAATAAAAAGAGAAGACCATATATAACAGAAATGTGTGACCATCTTCAAATCAAGTTATCTTAAAGTGATGAAAATTCCAAAACTAATCAGTCATGCAGTCATGTGTCACGGCAAGTACATGTCTGCAGCAAATAGTAAAAGCAAAATACTATGGTCCACTATGGCCATCGGCTCTGAAGAGGCTCATTTGCATATATACAGTATTTACTCGTATATCAATAATGTTCCAGTTAATGTCAACCTCCACCCTCCCCCACCTCGGGGTTTAGTGGGGGATTTGGAAATTATTGTTGTAAAATTTGCGAAATGCCCCAAATCCTAGGGCAAGATGAATAGGCAGATCCCCACCCAAAACAAACCCCCTCATTTCTCCCACCGATCGCCACTGTCCGCACTCATGCTAGCGAACTCGGCTGAAGCTAGCAGACAGTGGAAGCTAGCAGACACACTAGCAGCCACACTCTATCAGGCATACCAATGCTTTGAATCGAAGTTTATCACATCTTTTTGCATCAAGTAATCATAGTTTGACATCAATGTGCATGTATATAAACACTATTCCCAATATTTTATTGGAAATATTAAGTGTGCACCTTATCCACTTATATGGTATGAAACATACATGTTTTGATTACAATTTGTGAAAGGTAACATTTGATAATTAGCAGACAATTTTAAAATATGGAAATCATAATTGTGGTGGTACTGCCCTATTTGCTAGCAGACACTAATTAGGTCACTAATTACAGTTAAATTATTGAGTGTGCATCTTAACCACTGATGTGGCATGAAACATAAATGTATTGACTACAATTTGTGATAGGTGATGTTTAATAATTAGCAGACAATTTCAAAATATGGAAATCATAATTGTGGTGGAACTGCCCTATTTGCTAGCAGACTCTGATAAGGTCACTAACTACAGTTAAAATATTGAGTGTGCACCTTAACCACTTATGTGGCATGAAACATACATGTATTGACTACAATTTGTGATAGGTAACATTAAATTATTAGCAGACAATTTTAAAATAGGGCAGTTCTACCACAATTATGATTTCCATATCTATT